GTTTATATGACATACACCCAGCCCCTCGGCCACTTAGGTAGTTTACAAAATTTATGCAGAGTAAAAGAATAACCACTTATTAAACTTTTAAACTTGTTGGACTGATTTGACATGATGTCCTGAGACGTTGCAGCTGATAGGAGTCATAAAACAGAACAGGGGGACGTTAGATGCCCTGATGCCCCTATAGATAAATGAGTGAAAGAAAATATGAGCACCAAGCAACAACCCTAGGTTCTCCCCTGAGAACCAGACCAAACATTTTATGTGCAACCCTGTGTATTACAATACATGATCACACATCATCTGTATTATTAGAAGAAAACAACTTAAAACAATAGTTCATTTTGACTCTACAGACGAGTCTCTTCAGGTGTTTAGAAATTTCTTTCATTTTCAGCCCATAAATAAATGGATTAAAGAGAGGCTGAACTACAATGATCTGTAAAGTTACTGCTAAATGTACAAGCTTTGAAATTTCATATTCAAGCTCAACAGTAATGACATCATACCCACCGAAACACGAAAAACTTAGCAGAACTAACAGATGAGGTACACAGGTATGTAAAGCTTTTTTCTTGACTTCATTTGAGCTTCGATAGGATATTGTCAGAATCCTAGTGTATGAAAAAAGTATGAAAACCACAGGAATGAGTGCAACATTTAAAAGGGTCAACATATCCACTATAACAAGAACTTCTAAGTGCATACACAGCAGATAATAAAGTGGGCTGTTACAAGTGATTCCATTCAGAGTATAACTACATGGTCTTTCATTCAAAATTCTTACAGCCATTAATGACAAACTGAGGTGAAATGCAGGTGTTATCCAAGCATAAATCAACAAAGTACTGACAGTTCTTCTTCTCATGATAGTTGGATACTGCAGAGGTTTACATATTGATACATACCGGTCATAGGCCATGACTGTCAACAGTAAAAATTCAGAGCCGCTTAAAGAGTAATACAGAAAATGTTGAAAGAAACAAACCGAGTAAGATATGATCTGTCTCTCAGATAAAATATCAATCAAAAGCTTTGGGTAGACTACAGAACTGAACATAACAGAGTTCAATAACAAAGCTGCAATAAAAATGTACATTGGCTCATGAAGGCTCTTTTGTGTCACAATGAGACATACAATAATAATATTACAGCACAGAATCAGGATATAAACTGTAAACATGAACACAAAATAAAGAAATCTGTATTCATGCAACTGTATAAAACCATCCAGAGTTATATACGTGACATTAAATGTAATATCCATCATTTTTGTCAAACATGCTCACAATGAGAGAACCAACATATTAAAAGCACTGTTCTCGAAATTCACTGTGTCTCAATAATGCACACTTCTCTGATTCCAAATAGCCCATTACAGTGTTCATCTGTGGAAACAAAGTGACTGATTGAAGATGTACATACTGTTTTTGTAGAAGTGCTTTATCCTCAGAGGATTTCATTAATCTGCCTAAATTCTCCAGAGCTTGGCACCTGTTTGAAACACAAGCATATTCTCAAACAGATCTTAGTTTCTTTTCATTTATTCCAGATTAAAACAATGAATGAGTCAAAGTTAGACTCTTTGCATGTTTTTGATGAGAGGATAACATTATAACATGATATAAAGCTCAAAAAAGTTGATTTTACATTATATAGCCACTTTAACAAAAACTGGTTGCTTGACATTTGTTGCTTGTACAAAGTCTTTTTTTGCATGTGATAAATACTTTATTTGTCCCCTGTGATGAAGCAAAAAAATAAAATAAAAAAGTACAGACCATAGACTTCAATAAAAAGATCGCTAGACTGAGCCCCGCCTCAGTCTAGCGATCGGAATAGTCCAGCCTTGGCTCTCTGTAGGTGCACTGGGTGGGGCACTCTGTAGGTCTAAATATTAATCAGAAACATTTATAATATTTTACACTATGTAGGTC